TAAGGAGGAATAGAAAATAAATAACAATATATCTAACTAATCAGAATCAATATGAATATAAAAATCAAATAGGCAGACAACCAAGTGCTAAATACCCAAGCTGTTATTTTACGATCATATCGTTGAATTGATAACCCGTATGCGTTACCTTCAGCGCAAGTGAAATCGTCCTAATTTAAGAAGTACAATTGTACACCGATCTTACGATCTCAAACGAACTATGTGTCAGCTGTACACGATACATATATCTCTGCGTAATAAGATACTTAATTCGTAATCTAGTAAGTTTCTTGTGGTAATCTTGCCTGATATGCTGATTCTCACGTTGCCTATCAAAACTCTACAACAAATTTTGTCTACTCACTTTATGCGTGGATCTCTAAATTTTTTGTAGCTTCCGATGTAGCTAAGTGTTTTGAAACTTTGTACTATAACTTTAAACGACATTTTCACGTAAAATGAAAAAGAACAGCAAAAATTGATATCGAAAATATTTGTTATGGTTTTTTTGACAAATTAGGCACCGGCTTGACAGATGACAGCTGATAAACGTCACGTACCTACGCCAATGTTTACGTGGCGCGCGCCTTCTGGCGGCGACGCGTGAAACCAGCTATCAGCTGTAATTTTTCCTCCGCGAGGTCTCCGCCTCCATGCGCAACATGCGTTCGTCTCTTTTCCGAGCACGGCGGTAAGCATCGGTTGGTTGCGACGCGCTCTCTCCGGCCAGTGGCGGTGAGTCCGTCTCCGCGGCGGCTGTGACGGCGGTGTGACAGCGCAGCAAGCTGCGAGCGTGCGCGTGGCTCTCGTCCGCTATCGATCTCTCAGCGGCACTGCATTGCCGTACATTCCGGAGGCGGTGCCTCGCCTAGTTTTCGTCGATCGTCGGCGTGACCGCGTGTCGGCGTCGGCGGCGGCCCGGGGCGGCAACGAGCGGCGACGACAGCTGCGCAGTAGCGACGACGAAGCGCGGGAGCGACCGACCCTCCTTCCGCCAAAACCGGCGAGCGGACCGCGGCGGACGGCTGTGATGTAGCCGGGGCCGGCGACAGCGGCCCTCGGACAAAGGATCCGCGCTTCAACCGATTCGCGATGAAGAAGTTTACTTTCAAGGGGGTGCTCGACGGGTTCCGCAGCTCCGTGCAGGCGGCGCCTCGCGGCGTGGAGCAGGAAATCCAGGAGACGCTGCGTCCCGACCATTTCCAGATCAAAAAGGTGAGTGTTTATCGCACGGCGCGCGCGGCCCAAGGTCCCGCAGATAATGGCACAGCACGGAGGCTCGCGGGGCGCGGCGCGGGCGGGGCGCTCTCTACGCTCCACTGGTGGCGTATTTATAAAACCAGCTCAGGTGCTCTCGTGCTCGCTTGCACTCGATTGTGTACTGTAAACTATCGAGAACGTTGACACGACCACCAAAACAATCTGCCGTAGATTCGTTGATTTGCTGCCTCTGCAGCATCAGGTTTTTGCGTAATGTTCTTTAAATTTTTTTAGGTCGCGTACCTGTCGCTTCATATGGGAAATCGAAGGTTTTAGCGCTAAGCCACGTGAAGCGGCGATTCGTGGGTGCCGCTGCGTGCTTACGTCAGTATGCAACCTTGACCATCTTGTCTGTTACCATTTAAACATATTTTGCTTTGGCGCTCCGCCGCCGTAATGATGGCTTGTCCGGAGCGTGGACAACGACACTGGCGTAATTGTTATTTAGGCTCATTGCGTGTTTGTTTTCGGCGGCTGCGGCGAGCCGGCGGCGAGCGCGACTCGTGGGCGGGATAGTGATCATATTGGCCGATAACAGATTAGATAAGACTGCACTCAATAATGCCTTCAACCTTTGTGGCGCTGATAGCGACGATACAGACACTGTCTGATTAACATTTATTGACAAAATAAATTGAAAACAGAACCGCAGACTGAAGGTCAAATATTTAATCAATCAAACGTAAAATGTTGGCATTCCCGTTTTAGTCGTCACGAGGTTGTTGAACGTATGAGAGAAAAGGAGGAGAAAAAATTGAGTCCTCCATTGCGATTGAAGAATTCGTACGCGTTAAATAACTTGTACAAAATTAATTTACGAAAAAAAATAACATAAAAGATGACCAGATACAGATCTGTAGTTTTACTGTATTTTACTTACTTACCGTTTATGTTTTCTCTCAAGAATGGCAGAAAACAGCATCTGAACGGTTTACGTATGTACAAGGTCTTTTTGTGCTGCGGCATGTTATTGGCCCAGCCAATTTATTTTAGTTCAATATATTAGTTGACGCTTACGCAGTCGGCATTGGTCACGTTAACATTTATTATAACTTGTGTATTTTTAACATTCAATAAATCTTTACATTTTTTGTGTTCGCGATTGTGTGTCAAATTACCCCTATCTACAACTAGCTGAGCTAACTAAAACCGAGACGTCTAAGGCTATAACATTTCCGTCCTTCGAGCGGGATCGAACGAAAAATAAAAATACACAAGTTATAATGAATGTTAATGTGACCAATCGCGACTGCGTAATGTCGTCAATGAAAAATATATTGACCTAAAATAAAACTGACCCCAAAAGTATGCCGCAAGCGCAGCACAAAAAAGACCTTGTACGTAAACCGTACAGCATCTTTTATTGACTGCACCGAAAGTCAGCTAAATATTATTTACGTATCTGAGTTCTTGTAGTGTAATTCTACTATTGAAAATGAAAGTATTAACAAGGATGTAGGTCAGTTTCATTATACACGTAATTAAAGAAGAAACGTTCAGATTCCCTATACACATTCGACTTTTAACATTAGACACACATCTAGCGTCGGCTGGTAATACGTTGAAACATTTGTAATTATTTGTAAGTTTGTGACTAATTAGTCTGCAATGAGTAACTATCGTATTTGTTATCATTGCACATACCTACATAATTGACATAACAATTATATGCACTGTGACACTATAATACAACGTTTCTTTGATAGAGTACTAAGTTAAGTACAATGAAAATGTAATATGAAGTCAATGATGTTCTTTGGATGCGCGCCCGAGCACAAAAAGCAATAACTTTAGCCTGCGTTACTATGAAAAACACAAACGTGGCCGAAAAATCTGAATAAACACGCGTACATTACATAAAAAATATTTTTTTCTTGCGTTAGGCAGGAAGAGGCAGCTGGAGAGTCGGAATAACACTAACGTTTTTATAGACCCAGATCTTATTGACTTGCACAATCACGACAGAAGAAAGCTTTCAAAAGTTTCCGTCCTCAATCTTAATTTTCTAAATTACATGGACAAACTAATTGCCGGCGAGTTTCTGAGTGCCGGGACAAGAAAAACATTGCCGGGAACCAGGATAATATGAGTCAATCTTGAAATTCTTAAAATTTGACGCTGAAACGAGTTGCCGGCACATATTTATTGTATAAACGTTAAATTTAAATAAACAAGATGACTTGAATCAATATAAGTTGGCGTTATCGATGTCTTCGATGATTAATTAGAGATTAGTTAGTATGTATAAATAATTTTACTTATCAGAACACCTATATTTCTGAACAAGTAACTAGCACCGTACATTGATACAATTCATTTGATGTCTTCAATGATAAATATTAACACAATTCGAAAAATAAAAACACCTAAATTAACATTAGGCCACTCACCCACGCACTGTACAATAATGGTAAGAACATAGAAAAAACACTATTTGAAATAGCTATAACAGAGAATAGCAGCCATAAATCAATGGCGTATTAGGTAGGTCGTGTTCGGTTAGTTAGCGCCGTCGATAAAAGGAAAATACAATGCCACACAACTAAATGACGATTACGTCTCAGTTTAACCTCAAACGTGGCCCTGCGATTGTAAATAATTTGTTTCCTCATAAATATAATATCATGATATTTCGTTTCATTAGTATATCTTGCTGAGATAACATCCTTTTAGCGGAAAGTGACCCGTGCCTTCGTCGGTTTTCACTTCTATTTACGTCTTCTTAAGATTCTGAATTTATGTTTAATTATCTTGCATGCGCAGTGCTTTTCTTTAGAAATATAGGTAATATAGAATAGTAAAAAGCCACGAGGTATCATAGTCAATTTGGGATTTATAGTTTTAGAATAGAAAGAAAATTATTAACATCTATGTAAGCTTTATTCAGGCGTATTATTATCTTTCCTTGCATTGAAATAAAAAGAAAGGTATTCAGTAAAAGCGGAGAAAGAACCAATGCAAGTATGCATATTGTACTTACTCTACTACCTCAGGAAACTATAACATCGAGAATAAATGGCTAATAGCAAGCGAAAACATAATGTCGTGAATAGAGAGAGCTGCTTACTTAAGTTGCCGACACCACCTGTTCTACGATAGCTCAATATGTATATATACACTTGGTGTTATTGTCGTGTTGGTCGATGAGAGGCATTTGTTATATTAATCGTGTGAATTGAAGTTTGCGCGATTGGTTCAAATTACAAATGAAACTATCTGTTCGGATTTATATCACTAAAGTTTTTTTTTTCAAACAAACCATTTTTCAGACCGTATTTTGAAACAACCAAAGGTTATGTTAATTCTTATTAAAAAGGTTTGCAATAGCCTAAGATGATTGTTAACGATGTGCGCCGATGGTAAAATCACCGGCGGATCCGTCTGACAGATTTTCGATCGGCGGTGGCAGCGTGATCGGCGTGAAATCGGCGTGGCATATATTTTTGAGATGTTAAAACCTTGTTTAAATCAACGTTTGCATGGTATACAATTTCAACGCCATTGTCACTTTAATAAACGCTTTGACTGATATGTAAGCGCTGCGCTGTTGCTAAAAATAATCAACTTAAATAATTGTGTTTTATAGCGATCACATAAAAATGAGCGCTCTAAAATTCAATCCAAGTTCCAATACTTTCGTAGACGTTCCGTAATTCATTCTAATTGTACGGAATTGTTGTATAGAAATACACAAATGATGAACGAAGAAGCTAATACTTCTTAATAAGACAAATTTTCGCCACGCCTATTTTTTGTCGGTCGAGTTTATCTACGGCGCGGCGCGCATGTTGTTTGGGAACAAGATGCGCGCCGCGCACGGTATTGTACAAGCTCGAGACCAAGTCAAGCTTGACAAGTAACATTTAAATACGAAGTTTACGATAAATGTGGTCCGAAACGTCAGACTTGATGTACTCTTGATAGCACACTTTTTTTAAAATTTGTCATTACTTAAGTACGAGTGCGATTAACGACAAAATTTCCTTTTCACTTCAGTAGCTCAGAAATTGTTTCTTTCTCATTAGAAATCTGCGCGTAAAAGCGTTTTTCCACGCTAGCGTGGAAAAGGTTTTTGAAATTCGAACTTGACGATGGGCTGCGGCGCACCTAACTTTTTCTTTCGATGAAAAAAGGAACCAAGGACACGTTCAGCCACGCGATTTGTCGTACATTATTTACCTATGTAATATAAATCCACTGGTATATTTTATTATTATTATTGTTGACGTTAAATTGACAACGATAACTAATTTTGTTGATCAAAACAGATTCGTTATAGTTCAACTGCTTTTCTTCCACCTGCCATTTTCCTCGCTATAGTGAGGTGAAAAGTTGTGTGTTTCGTTCAGTAGCAAAGTTGTTTTGTGTCTCGTGTGTTTAAACCTTCGCTACGCTCAGGAATCTATTTTTGAGCAACGAGGGAAGCGATTCTTAGCATCCCTCGCTTGCTCAGGTTTCAATACAAGCACTCGCGCCAAGCCACAACTTTGCAGCTTTGCATAACAAATAACTATTTTTATGCTCCTCGATGTGTTTGTTCTTTTTCATCACGAAAAAAGCGCTACATGATACATGCCTTTGAGATTTTCGGCCTAAAAATGCTGTTTCTTCGAAACGGGTTTAAAAACCACAAAACATTTTAAGTTTTGATTGCGCAAAAACCGGTCTAGGTGCGCGCATTAAAAGTTTATTCGTATAAAGATGTGTCATCTTACCAGTAGCCATTCACCGAGTGAATAATATGATACGATTTTGGCTATTTTCAACTTTGGGAATGATCAAATAATTGAATGATTTCTTATCGTTTCATTATTAGAGGAAAATGAAAATTTGAACGTATTTACTTTCCGTACAATCTAATTTTGAAGAATCATAGAATAATGGTTCATTCTTATATCGATAGTTAGAAACTTCTGAGGTCCGTCGCTAAAGTAAAAATAAAACTGTATAGGTCT